GGCGGACGGCCGCGGGGACGGCGAGGTTGGGGATGGGATTGGGGCTGAAGAGGGTGATTCGGGTTTGGATCATCATTCGGGTTGGGAAATTGGGGATCCGGATCTTGGGTATTCGAAATGTGGTGATGGGGATGGGGATTGCTCATTGTTGCATGTCTTCTTCAATTTCCTCTATACTCTTTTATAGTTCCAAATTTTAGGGCTTCTGCGAAAAGTCGAATCGAATTGAATTAATTTAAATTGAACTAAATTAATTGAAAAATAATTGGTAAAAATCGATCAATATATATATTCGTAATCTAGGTGATTGTTTGTTTGTTTGAGTGTTTTCAGTTTTGTTTAATTATCATTAAAATATTTTGGTATATCACAACTTAATTATATATTTATGTTTCGTTCTTTTGTTAAAGAGCAAGTGATTCGGTAGCATTATGTTGTAATATAGTTAACCTTAACGTGTTCTTGAAGATATATTTTATAATTGAGAAAACGACAAAATCTAAATAAATCAAAGTGGAAAATTGACTTAATTGGTTTAGTTTGATTCCAACATTTAAAAAATCTATTTAGTTGATTAGATTTTCTTTTTTGGAAAAACCGACTTACATCGAACCATGAAAACATCTAATTTTAGTTTTGAATAGGGGCAAAATTGTGTTAAGTTGACTATCATTCTAAAATTATTTAATTCTTGATAAATATGAATTAGCATTTTTCTTATGAACAACTATCAAAATTATGTCATTTTTGGAATGGTCCTAATGCTTTCTTCTGTTAAAATTTTAAAATATTGAAATTGCTCAAGAGTTTATATTATTAGGAAACTATTTTAAATCTACTTAAAACAAAATAATTTTTTTAAACATTTTCTCCTTTTCATATTCAAAAAATATATATATACATATGCATCTTTGCAAGTGAAATTTAATCTTTTAAAATATATTTGAAAGGCCATAATAATAAATTAAAAATGATGTAGCAAGTCTTTCACATTGGATTTTGGGAGTATCAACATGGCGTTCGATAGGCAATGAAGTTACCTATAATATTGCAACATAATATGAATAGGGGAGTTTCAATATGAGTATTAGATATTAGGTGAGAAACAAAGAAAAATAGATAAGTATAGTATTATTAGTAAATTTAGATTGAGTACAAAATATGTGTAATTAAAATGTATATACAGGGATTGTTTAATACGTGGATTAAATTATTTTGAGATTATAATTTCTAGACTAATATAATTTATCCCACATAAAATATGGAATAACTTACATAATCCCATGTTAGAAGGAATAAAGAGAATTATCTCAAAGATTAAGCCTGAAATAAACTTTATACTATGAGATAATGTATTCGGTAAATCAAATGCAATATTTACAGTGTAAATCAAATCAAAGCCTCTACAAAATACTCTTAAAGCATAAGTGCTACATTTATCGATTATATATGATATACAAAATGTAACATAGATTCAAAACACATGAACTTGATAATACAAATCATGTGAGCATTATCAATCATATATTCATAATAGAAATTCATCTTTGAATCATAAACATGCATCACAACATAATATTTTATCATATGATGATATGAATAATTTCCTTTAGGAAAATGAGTTCTTTAAAAATAAGAAAAATGATTTTTTAATCAAAGTAGAGAAAATAAGTTACATAAATAACATTCAAGTTTATTATTTTTTTCCGACTCACCCCCCCACCCCCACACAATTCCGTTTTTCAAGAAAATATCTTTGCACCAAACACACAAGCCCCTTGGAGCTTGGTTAGTGGGGACCAAGAAAAAAGCTGAGTTGAGTTGAACTAGGCTAACATAGATTTTGTGCGTGGACAAGGCTAGATACTAGCCGGGATATATAGCGTACAAATGATGCACGTGCCAAGTCTTTAAAACACACAAAAAAATAGAGTTAAATTCAAGCCAAAATCTAGTCGTGCAATTGATCCCTAGTATTAAGCTTTCGAAATAAACTAAGGTGTGAGTTAAAAAAGAATTTGTAAAAAGGTTATATGATTTGTGAGTAACCTTATAAGATAACTAATAAGTTGATTCTTATGGTGTACTTCGAAACTAATAACCTATAAGGTCGTTTTTAGTTGTCGTAATTACATGTAATATTTTAGATTCTTTATTTTCTATTTAATTAAAGGAGATTTACTTATAAATATTATTTAAATGACTTTGATGATATAAAAATTTATTTACATGAATGATCAATAAAACGTAAGTCTTTATTTAAAAAAAGCAAAAAAAAATGGGAAAGGAAGGGTCACATAAAATAGACATTGAATATATTTTTGGTAATCAAGTTAAAGATGATTTGTTCATATATCTTTTTCCTACAATTATAGGTGGCAAATGCGTGTGTGTGGGGTGTGTGGAAAGGGGCCAAGGGGATTGTGATGAATTTATGTGTTGAGTTAATAAATAGACGAGTTAATTGATTCGTCTAAAAATTATTTGGGCTAAAATATTGGTTATAATCTAATCTGCTTAATAAAAAAAAATAAGCTTCTTATTTTTTATTTATTATGACTATATATAAATAACATATTCAATAAGATAAAATATCTTTTTAATAAGATTTCTCATAGATTAATTTGAGCTAAATATCAGTCCAAATTTTAATGAAATAAAATGAATTGAGCTACTATATGGGGACACAAACTCATTAAAAGTAAGGGCGGATCAATATCATTGATGATCTAAAGCCAAATTGCAATTTATTTTATTTTTTTCAAAGAAAAATTATATGTATAATTTTTATTTAAAGTCTGTTTTCTAACTTTTTAAAACTAAAGTTATAAATAATTATTTTATAATCAACTTGATCTTCTAATACTATTTTTTCTTCAATTAGTAAAATAGTAGCAATCTATTCAACATTTTTTTTCAAACATTTCAAATATCAAACATTGGGAAAGTTATATATTTTTATTTTTTTTATATATAAACTATAATATAAAATATAAATTAATTAATAAAAAATAATTAACCAGACCGGAACGGAATCGGAATAAACCGGTACCGATACACCGGTATCAAATCATGATACCGTTCCGTCCCGTGTACCGATTCACGGTGTCCCGTTCCGTCCCGAAGACTACCGGACCGAAACGAACCGGAATGGTACCGGTACAACCCGGTCCGGTGACCAGCCCTTATATGGGGTCTATTATAGGCTTGTATAAGGTATCCTTCATTAAATAGTACTCTTGACTTATAAGGCCAAAATTGGTAGGTAAAACTTAAAAGCAGGTCAATTTCTGTATTTATATGTGTTATTATCAGGAAAAATGAAATTAAAAAACAAAATTGCAAAAAGTTTTTAGCTAAGAAAAGTATTTCAGTATTGCAGATGCTATAATTAATTAGTTAATTTTATCAAATGCATGTATCTTGGACCCCACCCCCTCGTAATAATATTGATTTATTTTTGGTAATATATAGATGAACATTATCATATGTAAATTCAAGTGTATATAATACACGTCGATAGATAGTACAATGTATTCTCTATCTGAATCAGAATAAATATGTTTTCGAACCTTCTCTTTAAATTCCCCCACAAGTTGCCTTTAAGAATCAAGATGACTTAAGTTAATTACTTTGAAATACTAGGTTTTGAATCTGTGGAGAAATTTCTTCAAATTTGTGGTAAGCTTCTTATTCAACATAATTTTTGGTGAAATAATTAAGTTTTTTGTTAGAGAATTTGAGATCTTGAAAATAAGGGATTTAATCTCATTTTTGAAATTGGACAATAGTTAGTAATGTTCTTCCGAATAACTATGGTATTCTCCTCGACTAATTTGAAAGGATATCTTCAATTTTATACCTTTAACAAGTATTTGATTATGTGTTTTATAAGGTGCAAGAGACATTAGGAATTTTCCTCTTTTCTTGGTTTTGGAGAACTTTAATTCATTAATATATGTTTTATTTGAGCTTAAGAAACACTAAAGCTTCAAGATTTGCACATAAATTTTAAATTTTTATTTCAATTTATTTTGTGAGATATTGTGAGTAGCTTGAAGTTTGGTGAAACATCACCTTAATTAACTTTAAATTAATTTGTTGTTATATTGATTTTGTTGCTACTCTATGACTTGCTTTTTTGGTTGACTAAGTATATGTCTTGAAGACACTTCAACAAATTAGTTATTATTAGAGGGTATAAATTATAATTTTATAGTTGGATTATGAATATGTTAAAAATCACATTGTTGTTATGTGGAGTATTTTTGTAAGATAATTTTGGTGAATTTTGTATATATTCTTAGTTTTTTTTTTTTCTTTTTTTTAAAAAGCACTTATTTTGAATAATTCTAAAAGCAGAAAACCACTTATTATGAACCGAAAAACATAGTAAATAATGAACGGTCAGTAAGTGAATGTGTAAATATAGCTAAATTACATTAGAATTTACGCGTTTTTTGGTATGGACATATGAAAAAAGAAATAGATATCACTAAAATCTAGCTCGTGTTTCTCTATTTCACCTACATTATCAATATAAAAATGCCTGCAAGTTGCAGAATTTTTTTAAAAAAAACACGACAAAATTTAT